GGGTTGGTGAGAGATGTAATAATTGAGTGTGAGCTTTCATTGTGTTCTCATCCATATTAGAGAACAATCATTAGTTGTATTGTGCTTATTATGAGGTTCACCTTGTAATATACTTGTATACTGAGAGGAGCGTGTGGTGAGAGACGGGGTCGAATCCAAGAGGAGTGACGTCGGTTGACAAGCCTAGGGAGAGGTTGTATCCGAGTACTTGAGGAGGAGGACACGGGCTATAAACCTACACTTAGTGTGTATAGTGTGATTGCATAGTGATTGTTTGTGAGAGTTTTCGGTGAACTTGTAAACCGAGTGTGTAGAAGTTCCAGCTTCTAAACCGGGTTATGATAGTGGATTTCTCCCCGGGAGTGGGGAGCGGAGATGTAGAACGGAAGGTCCGAACTCTGTGATCATATCGTGTGTTTGAGTTTTGCTTTGACGCACTTCTCTTATGTTTATATTTCTTGTCGCCATTGTCCATTGCTCATTATTTAATCATCCACTATCTTGTTTATTTTGTTTACCCTTGTGTATATCACTTATCCTAGCTCACATATCTTGTTGTATTTTATACTTGCTAGGATAACTTGTTAATTAGTTTTAATTGGCATAAAATCGGATTAGATTAGCATAAGACCCTAATCACACCCCCTCTAGGGTCTAACAGAAGCAATCGACATCGTCACCCTTGACAGTTCTATCAACACTACTTTTCCTCTTGGACATAATAGCCTCCACATTTTTCTTCAAGTCATCGGGATCAATCAGGTCAGCAGTTCCTTCGTACTTCTCTAATTTCCTATTCAGCCTATGTATCTCCTTAGAGCAAGCATCCCATTGAAGACGCTTACTACGCTTTGTGGCATGGAGCAATTTCCAATTTAATTTGGCTGTATTCCTCCAAAATTGAATTTGTTGATCAATGGTTAGCTTCTCTATTTCATCTTCTCTTTCAAGCGCTTTACTGTTATGATGGGAGACAATCTGAAAAAATATCCAGGTCCCCATTACCATGTAAATCCAAAAAATTAAGGATAAAAGTTATGAAAAGCTAACATGTTAATCTAAAAACTAACATGAGCACAACTTCATGAAAGATAACATAAAACGTTAGAAGTTATCTTGCTCCAAAAGTAATTACATGTACTAACATGATCATGAACATTGGGCACTACGTCAACATGAAATCACCATAACAATTTAATAATGAATTAATGATGAAGTTTCCTAATTTCAACCAATATAAATAAGGAAAAAACAGTAAAGAGTCGTTGATGCTTACGTATCCTACGGATGAGCTATTTAGTCTGCCCTTCACTCTGGCTTGTTTATCATCCTTTACCTTTTCTATCTTCTCCTTCTTCCTTGGCAGTGAAACCACCATAGCTTTACTATTAGATGATATAGGTATCATTCTTACTTCTCCAGGATGAGCGTTAGCCTCCTTCCCGCTGGGCTCCCTTAGAGGGTATTTCTCACCCCATAGGCTGCTGTTTGAAATTGGTTTATCCTTAATCTTAATGTCTCCCTCCTCATCGATCCAGCCATCCCTCCGACTCTTACCCAATTGGTCAACGGAGGCTTCCATCTCAAGTTTAGGGCTGGTTTTTTAATCCATGTCATCTCATAGTACCATAGTTGTCAAAATAGAAGCAACAAATATTTGTCATAATTTTCCTAACTGTCAAAACTCTCTGTTCAACTTCATTCTAAATAGATAACTTTCAGAGTTAAAAGGTTAACTTTCACTAATACAGGTTAACATTAATGAGTACATGTTAACTTTCAATTAAACATGTTAAGTTATCAGGTTTCCATGTTAACTTTTATGTTTACATGTTAATTTTCACTAAATCCTGTTAACATTCAATCTTGAACATGTTATCTAATGCCTGTAACCAAAACTATTAATAACTAAAACAAATGTTAAACCATATATGTGTAGGCGTATAAAATTGCTTATAGGTCCCTTAGCATAGCTCGGCACAAACCGACGAACCAACGAGGCGACGAGGTTGACGAATCGCACGCAAACAACGGAATACATCCATTCGCGTGCGGAATCAAGCCAACGGTTCGGGGAGTCAACGAGTCATCCAAACAAGAGCGGACTCGGATAAATCACGACCGAATCAAGATCGGTTTCGGACTCGAACTCAGAAGTGGATTTATTGCCAAATCAGGAATCAGATTTACTGCCAAATCAGGTCAACAAATCGAGTCCAGACAAATCAACCGCACAACCGAATCACGGACAAAACGGGAACAACGACAAAATGACAGGAACCCAAACACCCTGAGGGTGGGTGCCTATAAATAGGCCAAGGGTAGTTCATTTGAAAAGGTTGGAACTTTGAGAGCTGAAACTCTGTCGAATTGAAGATTGAGCTCAGAGTTTTGAAGACTTGAAGACTTGAAGATTCAGATCTGGTTCTCGGCGAGCGTCCACGTCACAAAAGGTAGGAGTTCGAGAGAGGTAAAGATCAGATCTGAGATCTACACGAGATCACACTCCGGATCAAAGCTTGGCCTTTGATCCCGAGAATTAAGGGCGATTATTTCCTTGGTGAACTAATCCCTCCCCAGCTATTATTTCCTTCGCGAAATAATACCCGTCGAATCGTGTAGATCCGACTAGATCTAGATCGCGCGGTGGTCCACGGATTAACCCCGGCGTCGGCAAAGAACCCACACAAGCAAGAGACCGCAAAACAGGATCTTGCGATTTGTTCTAAAGGAAAATTGTAAAAGGAAAGTTGTAATTTTTTCTTTTTCTTTGATTTCGTTGTAACCGGATCTAAAAAAAAGACCGGATCTTT